CTCTCTCTCTCTCTCACTCTCACTCTCACTCTCACTCTCACTCTCACTCTCACTCTCACTCTCACTCTCTCTCTCTCTCTCTCTCTCTCTCTCTCTCTCTCTCTCTCTCTCTCTCTCTGTGTGTGTGTGTGTGTGTGTGTGTGTGTGTGTGTGTGTGTGTGTGTGTGTGTGTGTGTGTGTGTGTGTGTGTGTGTGTGTGTGTGTTTGTGTGTGTGTGTGTGTTTGTGTGTGTGTGTGTGTTTTGTTATTTTTATTATATTCTCCCTCTCCCTCCCTCCCTCCCTCCCTCCCTCCCTCCCTCCCTCCCTCTCTCTCTCTCTCTCTCTCTCTCTCTCTCTCTCTCTCTCTCTCTCTCTCTCTGTCAACGGGTGCCACAATTTGTCACGTCGTATCGTGCGTGGTCGTTAAGGCGTGGCGAGGGTCGTTCTGTGCCCAATGACACTTATCAAGCGGACGGGTCGCCTTTAACTTTCGCCAGCCTTTTAATTTCTCTCCTCAAACACCCATCTCTGTCGCTTCTGGTCCTCGCTTGCCGGGTTTCGTACCTCGCTCGGGTCTGTCCTGCGTAATGTCTCTTCTGTCCCTCCATCTTGGGCATTTTTTTTTTTTTTGTCTTTCTTTGTAAGGTAGGTGGCGTCCTTATCTAGGATTTAAAAGAAAAAAATCCTTCGGTCTTTCATTCTTGTTTTTCCTTGCTTTCCTTTTCTTTCTGGTAACCACGCCACCTGCCGTCTTTACATCTTCCTCCTTGACTATTTTTTTCCCTTCTATCCTCCCCACGTCCTCTCCTCTCCTTCCTTCACATCTCCATCCTTCCCTTCCTTCCTGCCATCCTGCCTTCCTTCCTTCCTTCCTTCCTCCCTTCCTACTATCCTCTCCACGCCCTCCTCTCCTCTCCCTTTACACCTCCGTCCTTCCCTTCCTTCCTTCTATCCTCTCCATGTTCTCTCCTCTCCCTTTAAATTTCCATTATCGGTTTCCTTCTGTCTACGCACCTCACGGCCTCCTCACCCTATACATTTCCATCCTTCCCTCCCTTCCTTCTATCCACTCCACGCCCTCCTCTTCCCTCCCTTCCTTCTATCCACTCCACACCCTCCTCTTCCCTCCCTTCCTTCTATCCACTCCACGCCCTCCTCTTCTCTCTCTTCCTTCTATCCACTCCACATCCTCCTCTTTACTGCCTTTACATCTCCATCTTTGCGCCAGCCTCCGCTCTTACAGATCTGTCAGTTAGAGCTCATGGCACCTCGCTGTTAATTGTGGAGGCGGCGGTGGTGCCCACACGTCACGTGGGTGCCACCAGGTGGGTGACAGTTGCCGCTTTATGTTGGCACCTCTTTGTTTTGCGCGAGCACGTGCTGTTACATGCCTGCAAGTGTTGTCTGGAAGTCGTTGTTGTGTGTGGTAATGGGAGGCCTTGTGCAGCATATTCGCTGTCGTTCCTCATCTTCGTTTAGTATTAGTAAACCCATTTCGTTAGGTCTGAGCAAGTGCGGTTGAGTTTAAGCTGTGAGAGATATGGGGTGTCGAGCCCTCCTCCCCGCCCATGGGTTGTCCCGGGGCGAGGGTCAGCTCGGATTCTGTGTGCCCCTCTCTGGCTGCTAACAATAGTGCGGCCTCAGCATGCAGTGACGTGCTATTTATGTTGGTTCAAACCCTTACTATTTATAACCGAAGGTGGGGGTTGTGTCGGGGGAGGAGGGGGAAGGGTGAGGAAGGGGTTGTTGATTGTTGGCCAGCTGTTCACCTGTCTCGGGGGAGCGAGGAGGGGGTAGGATAATGAGAGCGATTCATCATGTGTGAGATACTCCCGAAGAAGAAGACGAGGATGAGAAATACGCCGGGCAACTCAACCGCACTAAGTCCTCCTTTGGCGTCGCATTGAAGCCGTTCAGTCTCACATTCCCCGCAAAAGCGTTACATTCGCCCCGAGTGCCGTGTCGTCGATAATAAACCGCGCAAGAAAAAAGGCCCTTTATAGATCGTCTATTCTAGTCAACCGGATTTCTTCTTCTTGTCAGTCGTGTTATTTATGATCTCGGTATTGGATTGCTTCCTCGTGGGCGACATAACGGGGCTTTTCCGTGCCAGCAGGTGTAAGTTGTCCTTCATTGGTGAACAGGTGTGAAAGCACGAGAGGGGGAGAGATAAAGGGAGGGAGAGGGAGAGGGAGAAAGGGAAGGAGGAGAGAGGAAGCATTTGTAGAAACAGATGTAGGAAGCGGAGGAATGAGTGCGCGCGCGTGTGTGGGTGTGTGTATGTGAAAGTGAGAGTGAGTGAGTGAGTGAGAGAGAGAGAGAGAGAGAGAGAGAGAGAGAGAGAGAGAGAGAGAGAGAGAGAGAGAGAGAGAGAGAGAGAGAGAGAGAGAGAGCGCGACAAACAGAGACAGGAGAATTCTCATACAGAACCCACCCCGCCCCACAAATACTTTGACCAAACCTCCAGACAAAAGTCGTTCACCGTAGAGAGGTGCCTTAGGGAACCCTTGTCGAGAACCGAGCCGATAGTTCCCTTGCGCGGATCTGGCTGCACGAGCAACAGATGGCGTAATAGCGTTTGTTGGGTCACATGCACGATGCTCTGGTCTGGACTCCGCTGGGTTCGAATTGTGACTCCCACGCAAAGGGAATCTACCGAAGAAGTCCTGAGACACATCTACATACCGCATCCGTGTTTACATGCCAATGATTTGACTCTTTTAGTCAAGCGCACTGTCCCCGTAAATCTCTATAATAACATGACAACCCTTTGAGATAAAACGATTTCGAAGAGGCGCGTGTTGTAGTCCTAGAAGGGGGGTGGGGGGATGGGGAGGAGGGAGTGAATCAATTTATCGAAGAGACAGCCGGAAGAAAGATGCTGTTTTCCGGGGCTGGGAGGATCAAACCCGGGAGTACAGATGGCCACGGGGGGAAAATCGATTCGGAAGAGACATGAGGTCAGGTTCGATATCAGTTTCCAGGGAGTGTTTACATGATGTCGCACCCTTACTGCCTCTCTGTGGAATGTGTGTGTGTGTGTGTGTGTGTGTGTGTGTGTGTGTGTGTGTGTGTGTGTGTGTGTGTGTGTGTGTGTGTGTGTGTGTGTGTGTGTGAAGGAGAGAGAGAGAGAGGGAGAGAGAGAGAGGGAGAGAGAGAGAGGGAGAGAGAGAGAGGGAGAGAGAGAGAGGGAGAGAGAGAGAGGGAGAGAGAGAGAGGGAGAGAGAGAGAGGGAGAGAGAGAGAGGGAGAGAGAGAGAGGGAGAGAGAGAGAGGGAGAGAGAGAGAGAGAGAGGGAGAGAGAGAGAGAGAGAGAGAGAGAGAGAGAGAGAGAGAGAGAGAGAGAGAGAGAGAGAGAGAGGGAGAGAGAGAGAGAGAGAGAGAGAGAGAGAGAGAGAGAGAGAGAGAGGGAGAGAGAGAGGGAGAGAGAGAGGGGGAGAGAGAGAAAGAGAGGGGGAGAGAGAGAAAGAGAGGGGGAGAGAGAGAAAGAGAGGGGGAGAGAGAGAAAGAGAGGGAGAGAGAGAGAGAGGAGAGAGAGGGGGAGAGAGAGAGGGAGAGATAGAATGAGAGAGAGAGGGAGAGAGCGAGAGAGAGAGAGGGGAGGAGAGAGAGAGAGGAGAGAGGTGAGAGAGAGATGAGAGAGCGGAGAGATGAGAGAGAGAGAGGGAGAGAGAGGGAGAGAGAGAGAGAGAGAGGGGAGAGGAGAGAGAGGGAGAGAGAGGGAGAGAGAGGGAGAGAGAGGGAGAGGAGAGGGAGAGTGAGAGGAGAGAGGAGAGAGGAGAGTGAGAGAGGAGAGAGAGAGAGAGAGAGGAGGAGAGAGGGAGGAGAGAGAGAGAGAGAGAGAGGAGAGAGATGAGAGAGAGAGAGAGAGGAGAGGGAGAGGAGAGGGAGAGGGAGAGGGAGAGGGAGAGGGAGAGGGAGAGGGAGAGAGGGAGAGGGAGAGGGAGAGGGAGAGAGAGAGAGAGAGGGAGAGGGAGAGGGAGAGGGAGAGGGAGAGAGAGAGAGAGAGAGAGAGAGGGAGAGAGAGAGAGAGAGAGAGAGAGAGAGAGAGAGAGAGAGAGAGAGAGCATTTTAGAATGGCAAGGACATGAGTTAATGCAATTTGCCCTTTTGTCACTAGTGTTTTTTCAACAAAATTTCATCAGAATCGACATCTGCTTTTAATAACTTCAAACATTACAAACTCTCAAATCCCTTGGCACGGAAGGTTCATCCAGTGCCCTGGATCGTCATACAGTACCCAGATATTTAGGGATTCGCGTCGCTTTCCAAAGAGGCGAGGACGCGTCCCTTCCTTCCCTCTTGGGCCGACTGCTCGCTCCTCCCGGTGGCGAGAAAATAAACAGTTTCCAATCCTCTGACCTTCACTTCCCGGAATCCTTTTTGGGGTTATTGGTCTGTACTCTTATTCTGAAATATATTATTTTCGTGATTTTATTTTATTTTTTATTTTACTCTTAGTCTGGAAAACGGATAAAACTCTTCGTCATTGAGATGTTCGCAAATTTATTATTGAACTTGACCTAGATATAGCCGGCTGATTCACAAAGTTTTTTTTTCTGCAATTAAAATGAAACTTGCCCCTCTTGAGTGTCAGCGAAATGAAACTGAAGCGAGGCCCCCGTGAGGAGTGAAAAGTGACGACGTGAGCAGCGCCTATAATAGCGCAGCGGGCCGGGGAGCGTCTAGCAGGGACACTACTCCATTCACTCGCCTCGGCCGTCATAGAAAACGTGACGGCAAGGCGGCGTAACAGAAAACGATTGACTCGCTGGCACAAACCAAAGTAAAATGCGCGCTTGCCATCCATGTGGTATTGGAAATATGAAAAAATTGTTCTCGAAATGACATGCATTGCTGGAAGTTATTTTTTTGTTTTGTTTTATTTTCTTTGACAGTGTAAAACTTGAAAAGAATATTTATACTCTAGCTAGAAACTGCATTTCGCTATTGTTATTCTTCCTGTTTGATGTGACCCAATAACGCCAAAGCTAATCTGTCCCTTTATTCTAACCCACAGAATGCCGGACCAGCACCATCCCCCATAGGACAGATGCCCCCCAGCGACGGCATGGGTCCAGGGGGTCCCATGCCCCCAGGGTTCTTCCCGGTGAGTCTTTAAGCGTCTTCCTCCTCCTGCTGGTGAAGCCCACCACGCCCTCTCCTTCCCTTCCCAGTTTACTGAAATCTCGCTCCTCCTTCGTCCTTCTTGGTCCCCGACCTTATTTTTCTGTCATGCCACAACCCCTGTCATCAACGGACACTTGTTGATCACCTTATCAGATTACATGTCACACTCACGACGCGTTGCCATTATCTCTTTAGTCCAAAGAAGATTTTCAAATATATATCTACATTATTTTATGGTTTCCTACATCACGAGTTACACGTCAGTACTCACAGCATTGTTGGTCATGATTACTTTACTGAATATGTTTTGCAGTGTATTTCTCACACTTTTATATCACATTCGTCATGTCACATCTCCCACAGTTGTTCTATAATGTACGTGTCCAACCCATCCGCAAAGATGATTTTCCTCATTGAGTACGGGGTATGGCAACATAATGCAGGTTTTATTTCACTGTTATGCTCTTTACTGTGCAGAAAATAACTCGACACTGCATATAGTCTTGGGACTTTACACGCCCCTTTTTACTACCATGCGTCAGCAGGTTGTTGCCTATTCTAATTATAGTTTCGAAGAATGTTGGTTACACGGATAAGCATATAAGATCACGCCGTTTGGCGCATGAATCAATAGGGACATAATCTGCGAGAGCTTCACTTGATTTACGACAAATAAATCTTTCAGATATCACATGTCTTCATAAATCTCAATGAAAACAAAAAAGATGATTTTTGTGACTGACAAGCTCTTCAGTTGAAGGGAATTTTAAAACAAAAACATAAATACTACTACTTTATCTAAAAAAAAATCCAGAAAATATTAACCCAGATACATTGCGTCCATACAGATTTCACCTTTCACTCTCCCGTCATGTCGTCTTTTACCTTTCCTTCTTCAGTTATATATCTCTTGTCTCTTCCCCCGTTCTTCTCCCTGTGCCCGTATCCTGCCCGGCCTTCAGCACGAAACGACAGCACCTTTGGCACGACACAGGTCGTTGCTACTCTCACATTTTGCACAACCACACATTGCTTGACCAAGTCTCTCTCTCTCTCTCTCTCTCTCTCTCTCTCTCTCTCTCTCTCTCTCTCTCTCTCTCTCTCTCTCTCTCTCTCTCTCTCTCCCCCCCTCTCCCCCCCCCCCTTCTCCTTCGTCTTCTTCTCCTTCTCCCTCTCCCTCTCCCTCTCCCTCTCCCTCTCCCTCTCCCTCTCCCTTCATCTTCTACTTCTTTTTCTTCTTTCGGTTCTCTCTCCAAGTTCCCTTTCTCGCGCCGGCTCTTTTCCCTTTCCCTTTCCCTCCTCCCCACACACACCACCATAGACCCAACTAGAATTTAGTACCGTCTAGAGGTAAGTGGTGGTGGGCTGCTGCACCGTGACACAGCGGGTTTTCGGTGTCCCCTTGTTGACAGGCCCGCTATGGCCCACCAACGTTCAGGACGCACCACTTTTTTGCGTTTTACTTCAGACTGATTCTAGGAAATAATGTGTGTGATGTGACTTTTCTATTGTTCTTTTTTTTTAAGTTTGGATTCAGTTGTTTTTTTTTTGCACTTTTTTGTTTTTGTTTTTCTCTTATTAATTAATTTTACTTGTTTGTTTTTAATGTCAAATGATTGATGATTTGAAGATGTAAGCTTAAATATTTGAGTTTGAAGTGTGATTAATTCATAGATTTTTATGATTTACATTAATACTGTTTGAGCAAATAGGTAAAGATTTAAATACTGTAATACTGTTTGGCTGAACTGTAGTATTATTGACATTTCCGTCAGTCTTTGTAGCGCACACATAGAACTTCTAAAGATGAATTGTATGCAAGTAGAATAAATGAGAGTTGTGTAGGAATACATGCTCAGCCTTGAAAAGTAGAAGTAATGTAGATGCTCCAACTTTAATTGCTCGAGACAGCTTCAAGTAGTACTCAAGACAAGATTTTTCTTCAGTTTCCCCTCTGCTGCCGCTCAATCGTTCGTTTTCTCTACTTCTGTCTTCCCGCACTCGTGTTCGTCTTCTGTGGTGAGAGTCCATGCATGTTCTTTTTTTTTTTCTTTTTTTTTAAAGAGAAATCAAAATACTCTTTTATCGTGAGCACCGGGATGTTCCTACTCTTCAGGGTGTCCATATTATGAAAGCACTGTTACCTAGTATACAAATCACTGTGTCACGCCATTTTAGTAAGTTTACCAAAGTTCCTTCTGGTTGACCCATGCACACTTTCTGTATTTTTTTCAATGGTACTTGCGAAGTTTTGACAAATACCATCCTTACGAGGCCTTGGGAATTTTCCTTGACATGTTTGTGGTATCTGATGGGATTTAGTGTGGTTTTGTGATGAGGTTTTGTTGTGGTTGGACCCACGGATTCTCTCTGGGCCTGGGGATGGCCGCCCTGTACCGCATGATGGCGCCTGTCATGTTCACTTTGCATGATGGAGAGACTCACTCGCAGTGTCAGAGTGACGAGTGGTTTTCGGTGCTGTCACGCCGGACCGCTGTTTTTTTAAGGGTTACCCCTCCCTCCACCGTCACTCTTCCTGCCGTCCTACTGCCGCTGCTGCTGCTGCCGCCTTCACGTCACAGCGCCGTGGCTGCTGCACTATTTGCTAGACGCTTCTGTAGTTCTCGAGGCCAGCATTAGCCTCCCTGTCTTCAGATAAACCTATTACCGCCCTTAGAGCGCGTCTGTCAACTCCTCCGAGACTGCCGCAGTCGCATGTCCTTCCTCACTCATGTAGAGTTTAGTACGTAACTGTAAGGAGCTTTAGAAAACGGGCCTCCACTTCAGGAATTAAGGGGAAACTATCTTAGAATATTTAATTTGTAGCATTTTCATAATCAATAGTCTAATTTCATAGTTTTACTAATTATAAATGTAATTTTGCCTGTTACAGTTACTTATATTAGATACCAGAAGTAATGACTGAGTGAAGGCTAAAAAATATAAAAAAACAGTAAAATTAGATAAAAAGATAACGAGTTGTGGACGGTGGGATGACAGGCGCTTATCACTTACAGACGCCGGGTATGAGACCATCCCCAGGCCCAAACCCCCCCTCCCAGGCCTCCCCCCATCCCCCTGGGGGTCCGGGGGGTCCAGGAGGGCCGGGGGGGAGCCCCATGCACATGAACCCACAGGTAAGCCAGACATTTCTCTCGTTAGCATGAACACTTACCCGAGAGCAGTGTGGTGGCCGTTGCAAAAGGGCGACACACTGCTGAAGTAGCAGGACGTAGTGTGGTGGCCGCAAGTGAGGGGCACACACTACGGGCGTAGCTAGGCGTAGTGTGACCAAAGGAGGGGAACATGCTTCTGGCGCAGCAGAGCCAGACGGACCGGAGAAAGGTCGATGCATGCCTTGCAGATCCTCCTGTAGGTGGTACATTTTACTCGTAGTGTAATTTGTGCTTGGGACAGTCCGCGCTTACCAGAGGAATCGATCTCTTCCTGAATGGGGCCGATTTATGACGTCATGGGAGAGGAATAAGTGTGTGCTAAACTTGTCGTAGGACCGCACTTCGCCTCTCTTTCATGGTCGTGACGCGTGCAACAGTTACCATCTGTCGTCGTTTCCACTACACGACAAAAAAAGGGACATCGGATGCCTTCTCGATGTGTCTGTAATCTATCAACATTATTATTTCACTTCTTCCGATTCATAAAACTCCCTTTGGCGATAACCTTCCCTGCGAAATAAATAAACGTCTGCGGACCTTGAATAAATCGCCGGAACTGCCTACTCTCACCACAGGGACCGTCAGGAGTGTCGGGCCGAGCGGGACCGAGTGAGGAGCCGCCACTCTTAATTTTGTTTTTTCCCCGTGTGTTGCGTCGAGGGAACATTTGCATTCTGAAATTAATGGCTGAAGTACGAGTGCTTGCTCGGAGTAAACCACGATAACCGAGAACACAAATACCGGTTATTGTTACTGTTACTTAGTTATGATTTTACATGGTTACTTACTTATTTGTTTGAGAAAAGGGGAAAACAATGCAACAGTGTGTGTGTGTGTGTGTGTGTGTGTGTGTGTGTGCGTGTGTGCGTGTGTGTGTATGTGTGCGTGTGCGTGTGCGTGTGTGTGCGTGTGTGCGTGTGTGGTGTGTGTGTGTGTGTGTGTGTGTGTGTGTGTGTGTGTGTGTGTGTGTGTGTGTGTGTGTGTGTGTGCGTGCGTGCGTGCGTGCGTGCGAGAGAGAGAGAGAAAGAAAGAGAAAGAGAAAGAGAAAGAGAAAGAGAAAGAGAGAGGGAAAATGAGAAACATGGAATTGTGTGTGTATTGTATATGTGCGAAGAGAAGAGAAGAGAAGAAGAGGAAGGAGAAAGCGGAGGATGAGAAAAGAAAACTTAATTTTCATTTCGTAATCAAGGAATGGGGATCCGAAATAGTTATGCAGTGGAAGGAAAAATGCTTAATTAATCTTTAGATCGTAAGTGTGTTTGATTAGATTAAAGCTGATTTTATTATAATAAGAAATAGAGACTACAGACCTGTTAAATGTGTTTGCAACTCTTAGATGTGAACAACCCTGACTTTGATATTAATAACAGTATTAGTACTATAATATTAATTATTATTATTATTATTAATAATTATTATTATTAATTTTACTACCACTACTACTACTACTACTACTACTACTACTACTACTACTACTACTACTACTACTACTACTACTACTACTACATGCTGTCATATCCTATTATTGTTTCTCTTATTTTCATTTTATCACATACATTATTAAATATACCATTATTCACATCATCCACATCCTACAGAATCTGACCTTTGTGATACAACAATCCGACCTTCCTGATTCTCTGCGACAAAATAAGACCCGTTATTCATTCTTAATTGTTATCCCTTACTGCTAACCTTTCCGTCCACGCGAAGA